TCCCCAGCCAGCCATGCCTCAATGGTATTTTAAAACCATGCTGGCTGGGGAATTCTGGGAGTTGAAGTCCACACATGTTAAAGTTGCCAAGGTTGAGAAACACTGGAGTAGATAACCACAGCAGGATCAGACTTGATCACAACACAGCAGGGTGTTCACAAACACAGAATTCTGAACAACTCCTTCATTCCCCAGCACAGGGGGCAGGAAGGAGGAAACTGATTACCAGTCTCCAACACAGTGAAAAACCTGCCAGATAATGTCACCAATGTTAAATGCTATTCAGTGAAACGTTCCAGGTGCTATGCCCAGAAAGCTTTGCAGTGGCTGGGAGAGCTGTTGTTGGTCAAAGCAGACCAGGCTGGAGAATCACTGATTCTTCAGATGTTTTCAAACTACAGACCAGGCTGGAGAATCACTGGTTCTTCAGATGTTTTCAAACTACAGACCAGGCTGGAGAATCACTGGTTCCTCAGATGTTTTCAAACCACAACTCCTAGCAGCTCTCATCACTGGCTTCTAGGAATGCTGGGAACTGAACTTCAACACTAACTGGAGTCTTACAGGTTACCTAGGCCTGACCTAATTCTTCTCCCCTCCCCTCTATTATTTATTTATACTGCAAATTAAAAAGTGCACCATGAATACATTTGACAGACTTCTCAAACTGAAGAAGAAAGAGTACAGGGGACTCTCCACAGCCACAATTGCATTTGCACAGCCTAGGCAAAAATGAGGTTGGGTGGTAGGTGATTCAACCTGTTGTGAGAATCTAGCCATTGTCTGAGTATGATGAGTGAACCAGGTCATTGTGTGAAGCCACAATATGGTCTATTTGTTTGAGCCCAGCAAGCTGGGTGAACATAGCAACTGTATTTCCTTAATTGGGTTTAGCAGGTTGTATGAACTTAGCTCAGAGACTTTACTTCTAACACCTACTTAAAACTGTCAACAAAGGGTGCAAATTCACACATTGTGATAAGCAAGTTGCTCAGGAGCACCAAGTCAGTTAGTGGCAAAAAGGAAAATGCAACTTGGAGGTTTCCCATTCACTGCTCAGTCTTTTTAGGGACCCTGTGACAATCAACACTCACACAGTCCCTGTTAATATTCTTATTATAAGGACAGCATAACATTTGGACCCTGTTTTCTCCAGGAGGATGTACTGATTGCTAAGATATCATATCACAAGAGCAACCCAGGAAGCACCATTAGAAGAGACAAGAGTACATAATCCCCCCCCCCACACACACACACACAGACATCTCTGGCAGCACAGAAAAGGGCCATTTTTCAAACCTTGTTTGAAAACCCATGTTTCTCAGACTCTGCCATTGGACACCTTCTCCTGACCTCACAGACTTAAAAATATAAATCAATAAAGATCTTGCTTCCTTGTTTCAATCCTTCAGCGCTGTCTTCAATTGTTTCTAAACTCAGAGCAGAAACATATTTTACTTGTCCTAAGCCCAAGTGAACTCTGTTTTAATCACACTCCAAGAACCTGGGGAATATCTTTTTTTTTTCATTGAAGGACAACTCCCAGGCTTCCTAGATTGGATCTAAGATAAGCAGAGCAGCCTTCAAACTTCCTAGAGAAAATTCACAATACAAAAACTTGAATTAAATGCTAGCACCCCAGATGGTTTCTCGGTGGTCTATCATTTTTAGACGTTCTTGGTTCTGGCTAAAGCAAAAAAATGTGTCCCAGCACCTTCAGAAAACTGGGAACCCAAGGAATCTCATAAAAAGCATCTTAAGGGTTTGCAGGGGGTCTGTTTTATTTTATTGGGATGAACCATTAGAAACCATTATAGGTGTCAGTGCTAACTTTCCTCTCTGAGTGGCCCCAACTACTTGTTCCAAAAACAACAGGGGATGGAAGCCCTACGCAACTCCCTATCCGATCTTCATCAGCCTCAGCTAACACAGCCAGTGATTTGAGATGACAGCAATGTAGCCATCACCATACGAAGGACTACCCCAACTCACCAGAATGCATCAAGAAGCAAACACAACTTACAGGATATCCTCCAAAGACCAGGAAGGCATTGCACCATTGAGGCTGACTCTCCTCCTAAGGGAATAGATGTCTTTTGGATGGCTGTGGAAACAAGAAAAAAGGGCTGAGAAAGCCAAGGAGGAGGAAATTTTAGCAATGGCATGCGTTTACAAAAATTAACTGGCAGCAATGTCTAACAAGGCTGGCTGCAAAAAGTACTAGCTATATTTCATATGACCATTAACACTTGCAGTAGTTCTCTAGTTGTTAGCAGCTGAAGAGAGACTGAGTTGCATCAGAGCATTTTCATAGCCAGTCTAGTCCAACTTAGAGGTTTCATAATATTGTTGGAACATGATATGTTTAGAACATAGATGCTCAATCTTTGGGAGGGGGGGAATCAGGGAGAGATGACTCTATCAATTTCATTTTCATTTGTATTCACCCCTCCCCACCAATGTGTTCCATCTTGCTTCTGCATCTGATTGCAGCTTAAAGAAACTTCAACAATCCATAACAATATACCATAATGCTGCCATATGCTATTTAAAAATCATATACGTTCCTTCATACAAAAAAATGTCTTGCAAAGTTCTGAAAAAACAACGGAGAAAAAAATAACAATGCTGTTGTCCATACAGGTAGTCCTCAACTTACAACCATTTGTTTAGTGACCATTCAAAGTTACAGTGCCAGAAAAAGTGACTTATGACTGGTCCTCACACTTACGACCGTCGCTGCATCCCCGCAGTGATGTGATCGTGATTCAGGCACTTGGCAACCATTGCACATTTACAACAGTTGCAGTATCCTGTGGTCATGTGATCGCCATTTGCGACCTTCCTAGCTGCTTCCAAAAAGCAACGTCAGTGAGGAAGGTAGCAGGGAAGGTGGCAAGTCGCGGTCACATGATGTCTCACTCAACAACCTCACCACTTAACTAGGAATTTTCCAGTCCCTATTGTGGTCATAAGTTGAAGACTACCTGTATTGATTTGGGGGACACAAATCTGGTAGGAACTTTCTGGAATGCATACAACACACATGCTAAGTTGATTCAGGCCGTTCTCTCTTCCACCTAGCCTGCCTTGGGAACACCTTGCTATGTCCCAGGTGCCAGCAAGAGGAACATCTGTTGTTAACAGACAACAGACAACTCTCTCGTACTATTTTGGATTCTGTTGTGCTGCAAATGGTTCTGTAATCAGGTTGCACGGTAGCCCTGACGACATTCAGCCATAAATAGCTAAAGGCTGGAGGGGGGAGGAGGAAGAAGAGGAGGCAAAAAAAAAGTTTATGTTTCCAAAAATATTTGAGAGGCTGGAAAGAAAGAGAGGCAGTTTTCTCTTAGGAAAAAGATGGCTTTTAAAAAAAGACCACAATCAAACTCAAAACCATTTTGCTATTACTTTTGAACTTCACTAGTCCTTCTGACATCTAGCAGGTGCAACAATCTGTAGGAAGGTGAATCATACTCTGGTTTATATCTAGCTCAGTATTAGGTTATAGTGACTAGAAGCAGCTCTCCACGTGATAGTTCTTCTACCCAAGCACTTCCTGGAGATGCGAAGATTGAATTTTGGATTTTTGCATACAATGGAACTGCTTCACCATTGAGCAATGACTTCTCTCAAGGGGTACAATGTTGTCTGTTGTATTTAGCCTTTGTCTAATAGGAAGCAATGAGCAAAATTAGACCAAAGCCCCACCTAGTCCAACATTCTGTTCCCACAACTGACCAGATGACCTACAGAAAGCTCACAAGGAGAACCTAAGCTCTAAAATACTCCTCCAGCTTTTGTCCTCGGATACTGGTATGGTGGGGCTTACCTCCTCTGATGCTGGAGAGAACATGAAGCTATTGCAGTAAGAAGCTATCATGGCTGCAGCCACTGATGACTCCAGCCTCTATGAATTTCCCAAATCCCCTACGAAAACCACCTTGCTTGGTGTCCATCACATGCCATCTTATGGAGGGACTTTCCACTGTTTAGCTATCAGCAATTTTGAAAATAACTTTTTTGAGTCCTGAATCTCCTGACACTCAGCTTCGCTGAATAACATCAGATTCTAAAGTCAGAAGGGGAAAGTGTTTGTTTTGTTTTAAACAAACTGTTCGTGCTTTCTCTCATTTTTGGCCTCCAAACCAAACTTTTCCAACAGATATGCTAGCTAGGAATTCTGGATCTGTATGAACGTTTTCTAGGAGAGCAAGAAGTTGGGGAAAGCTGGTACTCTGTACATACCGTGGAAAAGGCGGCGTGCAACCTTTTGATGGATGGGAGTTACACTTAAGAATTCAGGGGAAGGTGAAGATTGCAACGAAGGTAGTGTTGTATCAAGTGGATGGGGCTATGCCATAATCTTCTTCTTCTGATTCCTTGGGTTTGGAATGGGTGGGAAATGTCCATGTGTCTATGTGTTTTAAGGAACTATGTTAAGCTTACTTTAGGTCCCACCCTACAATGTGTACTCCTGCCTCAAAAATGCAAGGAAACTGCAACACTGATTCTCAGCAACTGCTAACTGAGGATACTCCAGTACAGTAGTCATGAAAATGTGTTTGGGAGTCAGATGCAGTCTTTGGCCTGAGGATGGCCACTCCTGAAAAAGAGAATTGCTGCCTAGAAAGAGAGAAGGAAGAAAAAGAGGAACTGCAGGCCAGCTAGGGAGGGTTCAAGTCCCAATGACTCATGACTGTTCACCTGATCACTTCATCATGCAAGGCAGACAAGTCCAGACTTGCAAAAAAAAAAAAACAGTCTGTGGGAACTGTTTGAGGTTTCCCGGTGATGATCACCTATGCTTTCGAATTCATCTTTGGCCCTTAAAACTTTAAAGAAATTGTTCTTATGCAATCTGCTACAACATTGGGGTGGGAAGGTCAGAAAATAGGGGGCATTCCAAGAGCCCCAGATCAACTGATCCATGTCTGTCAGTCTGTCTAATTTATAAGGTTGCCCAAGTCATGACTCTGGGTGGTGTATATGTTAAAAACAAAATCCAGTTACAACAGAACAGATAAAAGATGGTTATAACCAGGAAACAAGCATACTTCAACACAACCTCACTCAGGGAACCTATACTGTACCTAACCCAGGGCCGGGGGTGGGGGGAGCCAGGTCTTCAAGGCCCATTTAAAGGCCAACAGGATCAGGGCTACTTAAACCTCAAGGGCTTCTCTGTTGCAGAGGGCAGGTTCTGCAACAGAGAAGGTATGACTCCTGGGTCCCATCAGGTGGCACTGATTTTAAGATGGAAACTGATGGATCTTGCCAGATGGGCGGAAACAATGGGAGAGAGGTGGATAACCAGGACCTATGCTGTGAAGGACTTTCTAGCTAACAACCAGCACCTTGAACTGCATCTAAATGCTTACTGGTATGGAGTACAGCAAAGATGAGGGTTGTGTGTGTATACATGTATCTCCACTGCACTCTGGGACAGCTACAACTGCTGAGTGGTCTTCAAGGGCAACCACAGGTAGAACACACTGCAACAGTCCATACAACTAAGGCATGAATGACTGTGAGAAGGGACTCCTGGCCCAAGGGATGCCATTGGTATACTAGATGAATCTGGGTCAAGGCCTTCCTGGCCAGAGCAGCCACCACTCTCCAAGCAGGAGTTACAAGTCCAAGAGGACCCCCCCAAACTGTAAACCAATTCTGTCTGGGGAATGCAACCCCCTTCAGAACTAGGGGTGGAAAATCCATGGCATCAGAAGAACCAGGAACCCACAGCCACTCAGCCTTGTCACTCTTTCTGAAAGAAACAGATAAAGCCAGCCTTGCTTAGAAAACCAGGAACTCTAGTCAGACTGCTCTCTTCACTTATGTTACAACAGCAATCTTGTAAGTAAACCTATTGTTCTTCTTCTGTGGCAAACCAAGGATGACAACCTTTTATAGAAAGCTGCTCTGAAATTCCAGGGGCAGTCACTGTAGAAAGTTTGTGCAAGATTCACAAAGGCTAAAAAAAAAAAAGATTCACCACAAAATATTACTCAATTCAACACCCAGAGAGAAGAGCAGCTGCTTACAAAATCAATTCTTCCCCACCTCTACTTCATCCCTTGCTACATCCTGTGACCAGCGTATAATCCGATGCCATCTGTGCCTGATATAGGCATGACTACGTTATGCTTAATTTTTTAATGCTTATAGTACATCATATTTATGATTTTTTTACTGCACTGGTATACTGTTATTGCTGTTCATATGAACACCACTTGGATAGGACTATGTATTTTATAGATAAATAAACAAAAAAGCATTTCAAGGTAAAAGATAAAGAGTCCCTTGGGTGACTTTGGGGGACAATGTGTCGCTTCTTTGACAATACAGAAGTGACTTGCTATTGTTTTTCTGAGACAGTTTTGGATTTCCCAATCTAGCCTACAGCCCAGGGATTCCACGATACTTTCCCTTTCAAGTACTAACCAGCTCCAACCCTGGTTAACTTCCCAGCCCAGACAAGGTTGGCCAAGAACTTTCATCTGGCAGAAGCCACCATCAAAAGAGGATCATTTGACAGTGCCTCTGGCACACTTTCATCCCTACCAACTCAGGATCCAGTCAATGGAAAAGGAACACCTGGGGAGATGGTCTTGGGACTTCTTGAGGGAGAAAGAGAAGGGCCAGCCCAGTGAGTTTTTCCAACACTGCCATCAGCTTCACAAATGGGTGAGTAGAAATCTTACTGCAGGAGCTGGTAAAGTCCTTAACTTTCTGACCAAGCTCCTTTCCACAAATATGCCAAAACCAGAAAAAAACAAACAAACCATGATTTCACTTCTTAATACCTGCTCCATCTTCTCCAAGTTCACCACACTGCTGATTCATTGAACAGCATTACATTATAAGGGAAAAACTGAAACTGGATGATCCCAGGTATTGTTCTTGTTGAGCAGAAGACACCTACTCTGCTAAAGTCATCATCAGTGTTTGAGAATAGGGGAGGAATGGGAATTATTATCATGCCGAGTGCTTCACAGTCTTCATTTAAAGGAAAAAAAGGCATAATGGCTACTAAGGGGAAAAACAACCCATTGCACTATATTCATTATGGAACCAATTTAATTCTTGGGAACAGATGGAGGGTCCAATTGGAGATTTGGTGGGAGACAGTCTCAAGTGGGACAGAAAGACTTGCAGCAATCTATTTCTTCAAGTTGTTTTTTTGCATTCTGCTTCTACTGAATATCCACCACCAAACTTTTACCGCTCCTTGTTGCATTATATATTGACAGCTTCACTACAAGAACTAACCAAGGGCTGTGCAAAAACAATTGAGCCTGCAACCATGTGGGACAAACATTATTAAGAATAACAACACTTTTGCCACACGCGTCCCTTGGTGAGGGAAAAAAAGATCTACACACCTGCTCTCAGGGGTCTAGGTCTAATTGCCTTTTCATTTGCACACCTACTAATGATGAATAGCACTGGGGCATGAATATACCCTACATATAGTACACATTTTTTTTCTATATTAGTCTTATTAAAAGTGATTAAAGCATTATACTCCATCACTAAAAGTACAGACATTGGTGATATATAAAGATGAGCAATTAAGAAAAACTAACAGGAATGTGGTTCCAGTAGTAATGTATGGCTGTGAGAGCTGGACCATAAAGAAGGCTGAGCGCCGAAGAATTGATGCC